CATCAAAAGCTGAATAAAACGTCTTAAAATTATTCCGATATTTCCAATATTTGAACGTTTTTTTCACCACTCTGGGAGCATGACAATGGTTAAAATCGCGCGCTCTCGTACCGATAGGCGCGCCTTCAGACAGTTCTTCAGACCCTCGATTAAAAAACTTCTATTGATTTTTACCGAAAAGCCAACGGTTTTTGAGATATGAATAAAATTGTACTGAAATTTAATGATTTTAGGTTTATGTCTTTAGAGTTTCGAAAACTTGTCGTCATCGTTAGAAGCTACGTGGTTTAAAATTATTAGATGAAAATCATCCAGCTAATATCCGAAAATATTCAGCAGAACGTTTCCTATGCCTCGCTGAGAGCATGACTCAGCTTTAAAACCGGCAAAGTGGATCCGATAACCACGGTTTTCGATAGAATTTAAGATGCTCTATCGAAAAGATTTTTGTAAATTTTTTGTTATTTTCAACCATTTGTCAGATACGAGTGAAAATGTACAAAAATTTACGACATTCCAGGTACATTTCAATCTATTTTCTCTTTGATTGAAAACTCTTTTTTGCTATTAAAAACTGGCTAAACGGGTGGAAGTTAATAGTAAAACAGTTAAAGCAACTAAAATAGTCGATTAAATTGATTAAAAGATTTTTGCGAAAGTGTTTCACCAAAATGAAAAATCGACCAGTGTCAAATCTGAATTATTGGGAGTATGAGAGGTTCCTACACAAAAAACCGAGAGGGAAACTTCAGATTGATAAATTCTATAGATCAATATTGCCAAATATTTTCAAAAAATCATTTAAAAATTCACTAATGGTAAATKAAGAGCATGACTGTGTCTTAAAAMTKGTTCGATTTTGATGGCAGGATTAAAAAGTTGATTTTTAACGAAAATCTACAAAATTGTTAAATATTATTAATACAACCAGCAATAGTTAGGTTTTTTTCAATGTTAGAAGACTTTGTCTCCTCTCTGAGAGCATGACCAAAAATAAAAAATCGCAAACTCAACACACCGGAAAGCCGTGGCACCAACAACCAAAAAAATCGATTCTTTGGTAGTTGAGGAATTTAATTATTCCTTTGCGCATCCACGCAGATATTGGCCTACAAACCTGCCAGCCTAGAGGGCCATTTGTGGTTAGGTTTCAAAGAATGCTCCTCAAAACTTAAACGTTTGACAATGTCCTACATGCATAAAGTGTTCCTTTCTTGTGAACACTTTCACTAGAGTGTGAGTAGTAGCAAATTGATTGGCCTGAGAAAGTCAAAGTGAGAAATGTGGCTGCTGCTGGAGAATAGTTAGGAGAAGTGCTAGAAGTCCATTTACCAAATTTTTTTAATATAAAACTATTTTAACATCAAGCCGCGATAAGTTAACGAAACAGCGTTGAAAGCAGTGGAAACTGATGTTGCTCAGTGAGGTTATGAAGTGTAGTTAAGAACTCAGACCTCACCTCAACCGATTGACACTGGCTAAACTGGCAGGAAGTTTAATAAAACATCAAGATCAAGGGAAATTTAATATTGAAAAATACCCAATCTGTTCAGGTAAATTCTGAGTTCTTAACTGCACTTCATAACCTCACTTGGCAACATCAATTTTCACTGCCAACGCTGTTTAGTTAACTTATCGAAGCCTGATGCTAGAAAAAGTTTTTTGAATTAACCGATTTAATGTTAATGGCAACAGGGCCATTTCCGCTGCAACTGAGCACATGTTGCCAAATTTCCAATTCAGTTTTTTGCGAATATCGTTGTATTTTGTGGGTATTTTTTTGCGTTACTAGTATTTATGCGATGCTACAATCCTCCAGAGAAATGACGCAACATTCACATCACCCTGTGATGGCATACAGTGCTGACAAAATGAAGTGAAGTACTTAAGTTAGTAATGCAGTAAGAGCGACGGTGTAAAGTGATTTTATTCCTTGTCTTTCGTCTAGACAAGCAACCTTCACCTTGAAAGGCTGCAGTGCGACTGGCAATCGAGCCCATAATGAAAATCCAATACAGCCGTTCTTTCCATGTCCCAAATACATCCTTAATGAGCATTTGGCTACTGCCATCTTTCCTTCGAGCTCATTTGGGTAAACATTGCTTATTCAACCGGAGGTCGCAGTTATCCAGAGCGGCGTTTCCTGGATAGCCGATGATTTGCATCGTTGTTCCTTTATCGACATTGAGGATCGTTTTTGCTCGTATCGCAGTCGTGCATCTATCCGCAGCCAAACAAAGAACCGGCAACGATTTTCCATCAAGGATACGCCTGGAATAAGTTTTCCAAGCTGGATAAACACCTGTTAGTTGGCCTTTTGCCTGTCACGCGCTTGCAAAGGTCGCATTTCCCACTTAACGATCAAATAACGCTTCGCATTGCAATAAATTTCTCTTCGATTATTTGATTATTTGATTATTAGATAACCTTTTACACAAGCATCAAATGTTAATCAAAGAATTAGGTGGAATCGGTGGTTTGAAGCGAATTTTGAGTGTGTTCAAACCATCAACAAGCCAAAGTTCCTGCTAGTGTTGACCCAAAAGGAAGTTCAATAAACCCACAACGAACGTGTTTATTCCTGACACGTAGTTTTGAGCACCGACTTTGGCAATTTATTAGGGACGCTCAGCTGAATACATCAGCCTCAAACGGGCGTCGCTTGTTGGGGAAAATTAAATTTTGATTTATTGCGCCCCGCGCGAATGCCGAAAGAGTGAAGCTGTTAATTTTCAGCTGGAGTTTTCAGGTGCAACCGTGAAAGTAAAATCTCGAAATCTAGAAAGTAGAAATTAGCAGATTTTGTTGAAATACGACATGCATGTTTCCTTCTAACCTACTCAATGCGATTATGAGAGATGATTACCAAATAGTCACGAAAACGTACGAATCTGATGGAATTCGATAATCTTCTTATAACACAATTCGAATTCTACTGGCCGCCATTTAAGTGAAAGTCCTTTTAAGAGCGCTACCGGAATTGCGATGGAATTATAATTGACGTTCATTAAAATATTAGACGATCATTTAAATGATTTTCTGATGAATAATCTTTCCACGTTTTTATGTAGTTTTCGAGTTCTATAGATAATAAATGSCCTCTTTTTGCTTATTTCTCCAAACCATTTTCACGTTCTTTTGTAACTTTGGCTTCCTGCAATCTGTTTTTCGGCAATTGTTGMAWCCATCGAAGGTCGATTGAAGAAGGCTCGATTTTTTGCATCAGACCTCAAAYGATTTTYGATTGCTCGTTTAGAAAGTTGCCTTTTACCTATGAGGTTTGGTCAACAATTCCRAACTTCGCTTCTTTCTTCTTATTCTCAGAACCTTTTCGATGRAGAATMTCAAGAACTACSGAGAMTCGCGCCTYTCGGCGCAAGTTTACAAGTTTTAAGTCTTGGTCATGTTCTCAGCCCAGCTAAARAAGTTCCATTAAAAACATATTTTCATTTKCTAGATTCKTCGTATGAAACGTSGTTAAATAYTTCRWAAAACTTCCCAAAATATTTTCGCTAGAGCRTTTCAAGAACTATATAAAACCGCGCCGGTTGKGCCAACTTTACCGGTTAAAAACCTGCAARGTAGGTAAACCTGTAATCATGGTCATGCTCTCAGCAAAAGAAAAAACATTCCGACATTGAGTGAGCAATTTTTGAAGAGTTTCAGGAAAAATGTGCTCATCGGTTCGGTTTTTCAATTGAAAATCGTTCGTTTTTAATGCAAAGTCATGTTCTCAGTGCGGCTGAWAACCRKGCTGCARGAAAAATATTGGTGCCAAAAGTGCCATAMATTTTTGCAAAGTTCCGAAAACTGTAAGGGTTCATTAATAAATGGCAAAATTTTTAGTTCTGCCCGCGTTTTTGCAAAGTCATGCTCTCAGCGAGGCAAAACAAGGTTCCTGCGGGACTTTTGCGACATTTAGTAAAATTGAATATTTCTGTTGGTAAAATTATCGTAGATTTTACTCAAATCAAATCAATCAAAGATCAAAATTATGTTCGTTGTACAGGAGAATGTAATCGAGACGTGCTCAAAGTTGCAAAGTCGTGCTCTGAGCGGCGCAAAAAACTGTTAATAAGTTGAGTTTTGCAAATATAATTTAGCAAACTGAGCTAAATATTATAATTTTCTCAAATGTGCAATTCAATTTTCTCCGGGGCCTGGACGCTTTTCTGAGCTCCTGCACTAATCAATACAATCCGCCAAAAGAGCAACATTTGAAAGAGCAACAATTGCGTCTCTAACATTAAAAATCGCTCTAGAAATAGAAGCGGCACACAATATAGAAATAGCTCTCATCATTAATTTTATCGGACAATCAGTTTCAGAACGTGTCAGTTGAGCAGAAACATGCTCATTTGAATGAGCATTAAATTGGCTTAAATTTGTCAGTTTAACTTGGAAAATTGCCACATTTAACTTGAAAAACACTCACATCTTGTGTGAATCATTTAGAAGCCATGCTAGTTGCACAGTGAATGCTCATTTGAATGAGCGAAAAATATACTTAAAATGTGGCTTTTAACGTAAAAATCGCCCARGAAATAGAGAGCAACATAAAAAGTAGGCAACATCTACAATTAACATCTCCTGACAATYCTGTGCAGAGCGTGTCGGTTAAGCATYAGAATGMTCATTTTAACGYGAACGAAATTTGCTTAAAAATGTCACTGTAATGCTGGAAGTTGTTCGAAAAATGAGCATAAAAAACGCGTTTAGAACTAACAAGCGCGCTGGATGAACATTGAACTGCTCATTTGAAGGAGCAGCCGATTTGCTCGAAAAACGCATCATAWCGTTAAAAACCGTCTCAAAAATTGAGAAACTGGGTAACACTAAAYTARCRTATCCTGAGTTAACATGTTTTGGCAATMCATTAAAAAATGCGCCAAACAAGCGCTCAAATGCTTATTTCAGACAGCGGCAAGTTTGATTCAAATGGGCAGTTCAATGTTAAAAATACGGACGTGTTCAAGTTACAAAGCCATGCTCTCAGTRGGGCAAAGAAATGCTGGYAAATGGCGMTCTACAAACCTAAATTWAAAAATTGGCCCAGSGATGAMAATTTCTGRAATTTTCAGTTCAATTTACTCCAGGGCCTGGAGGGTTTTCTGAGCGCCTGAACTAATCAACGTATCAGGCACAATTTTTTGCCTGAAAATTGGCCCAAATGTTCTGCGTGTTCCTAGCTAGAGGGGTGCGAGTAGGGAACAAAATAAATGCAGGGCTTCGCCCCTTATCGGGGCTCCAAACATTTTTGTGACATCTTTGTCCTACTTAAGAACAAATTCATAGTGAGTTTCTTTAAAATCCATTGTCATTCTCCCGATATTTTACCATCAATGGCCATTCTTTGGGAGGAGTGGCAGACATTTTTCCAAGAATGCCGCAATACTCTTCTAGTCGTGTGCATCCGGGACACCCTGTATTTGCAATGTAAATTAAGGTCTTTATGATTCAATTTGCTAGCACAAACACTTTAGCAGTTTAAAGAGTAGGATGAATATTTCATAGTTGAAATGGTTGTTGCTGAGGGCATAATAGGCGTAAATTAGCGTTCATTTAAGTGTGGCAGTGGAAGGCAAAGCTATGCAAAAAATCCCCAGGGCTTTGCGCCTCAGCGATACGCAAATTCGCTCATGCTTTGCCGTTGAAGAGGACAAATGAGTGCGAACTGAAGACAACTTGAGCTGAGTCTTCCTTGACCGTGAATGGCGTGGTAGCTGAAAAGCGACTACTGGCCCCCCACTCGAGTGGTCAGCCATCAAATAAGCAGGTTCTTGAGCCTGAAAAGCTCCTTCGTGCTGACAAAAGAAGTAATATTCCTTCGGCAGCAGAAGAAGTGACGTCGCCCAATGGTGGTCGTTGTTTTGTTAATATAAAAGCTGAAAGCGAGGTTACACTTGGTCCTGTCATTTCGTGTACGGCGAGAGGTGTTTCAGTTGTGCGTCTGAGTTCTCTTAGTGATGATGGCGCGCCTACGAGACGCGCTCCTCATACTGTGTTCGATATGTGCATTTACCGGTAAGTACCTGATTGATTGGATGAGAACCATATGGATGTTGATGGCTTTCTAAACGATTCGCGCCGAAGAAACCAGGCAAATTTCGCGACATCGATCAATGGCTTTCGCTTTTGGTTTGCACATTTTCCCAGCCAGTTGCGTAAGCTCGCACAATATGGGTGGACATTTTACTGAGTTTATCGGAAATTTCATGCCTCGGCGGGGTTGGCTGGTAAAGAAGCTCCAGGAAATTTTTGAGGTCGTTGAATAATTGGCTCTTCCGATTCCTTGCTGGAAAAACCTGCAGTTGTTTGCCAACCGTTGAAAAAACACTCAATCAACTGTTCATTTAAAATTCGCTGTACTGGCAAAAACGTTGCATGTTTTCCAGCAGGTTGGCGTTGCATAACGACTTAAAATGCAAATTTCCCCCATGGAGTTGGATTCTCACATATTGCGTTAGAACGATGATTATCCGGAATCCTCAAGCCTTGAAGTTAAGCGATTTTCAGCGAAGGTGATCGAGCTTTCACACGGACGATCTGAGCTAGTGGATGGATTCCTACCACATAAATCCTGCGGAATTGCAGGAGAATTTTCGTTAATTAGCCGCGCATTATTTAAGCAGAAAAAGCGCACTTTCAATTGCGTTTTACCCAATAGGCCTGGGCAATTAGGAAAAAATGTCAAGAACGCCGCCGCCGGCGGCTGCTGCTGCTGCTGCATGTTTAACCGTATCTAATTAAATGCCTGATTAAAACCTTGCAGCTGAATAAATGAATAGCGGGCTTAGGAAGTTCTTTGTTGGCGATTAATTGGCGCCTAAGAGCAGTGAAACCAGCCACAAAATCATCTTTGCCAACAATCCAAGGCGATTTGAATTGCAAAAAGCGCCCCCGCACCCTGAATTCTTCGGCACGTAACTGGCATTAACATAAGCAAAGGCCACCACGCATTTTTCCTTTTTGCATAATCGCCTGATTAATTGGCACCGCGACCATCCTAGAATAAGCGCATAAATCAGGCAAAGGAATTATACAACTTGGGTGTTAATGACGAAATTTTCCTCAGCGGCCCAACAGCAAACCAGCGAAGATACTCCCAAGAAGGAGGACAGCTTCGAAGCTGAGCTGTGCAAAGACAAGGATGCAGGCGAATGGTTTCGCCTGGTAGCTGGCGAAGGCGACAATTGTCGTGATGTGATCCAGTGCACTTCATCGGTGAGTATCAACAAGCCGAAAATGGCTCGTTTATTTGCAGACAAAAAATGGGTCACACAATGCGCGGTTACACAACAGCGACATGCAGTGTTAGATTTAATCACTACAGCACAACAATCAGAGCACAACATGCAGTAATATGCGGTTCTTGTTCGTCGATTGTAGGCATTTTCTCGATTGCTCGCATTCTTTCGATTTGTTGTTGTTGTTGTTGTTTTTCTCCGCTTCAAATCGATCAATCAAACACACCTTGATGTGTGCACAGAAGAAATTTCATTATTTTTTCCCACGCACTAATTGAAAATGAAAAATTCGAATACGCAATCGATTACTGAATAGTGGCTTAGTCCGAAAAAACCTTCACTGACTCGGAACGAGCCACAGTTTTAACCTGTAAAAGAATGAAAGGGAGCTGATGATGGACTTTTCGAAACCCTATAACTCGCAAACGGTTGGAAAAATCCAAATAACCATCAGAACTTTTTCGATAGCCCGTTGCAAAAGACACATTTCTTCACTTGAGCTCTTTTGCAAATTCCTAACCTCAAAAGAGATAGAAGCAAAAATATAATTTTGGGCGCGTGTCCCAATGCTGAGGAAATACGCACTGGAAGCTGAATCATTCATAAATTCTGGCACTCAATCAACCTTTTCACTCTTTGAGTCTCTTACTGCTTGAGCTTGATCAGATATTTTTAACCTCTAAAGGCCTTAAAACACACTAAAGAACTTTGAAGTGTACACGCTCATACCTGGAAAAGCTTTCAAATCTTTCAAAAGACATTTTTGTTAAAAGGCATCCAAAACTGTTTTTTCTCTTTATACTTCAGTATACATTCCTAACCTCTAAAGGGATAGAAGCAAAAGTGCCAACATTTTCTGGCCATTGAAGCATAAAATGCGCTGTACCCCACGCGATAAACGGTTGGAAAGTTGTTGGATTAGTTCAGTAGCCCATCACGAGAACAATATTTTTCTGAAGCGTTTCTCAAAAATGTTTAACCTTTAAAAAAATTTGAGCAAAAATACAATATTTTTTAAATGTAAACCGCTCAAAAGATCTGATCAGTCGTCAGGATCATTTGATTAAACGCATCGAAAACTGTATTTTCTCGTTAAGCTTCACTATGCATTCCTAACCTTTAAAACTACAGACGCAAAAGTGCCAACATTTTCTGGCCATTGTAGTTTTAAACACTCTATAGCTCATCAACGGTTCGAAAAACCCAATCAGTTATTTGGACCTTTTTGATAGTCCGCCTCGATGACTATATTTGCCTTATGGGGTTCATCCACAATTCCTAACCTTTACAAAGATAGAAGCAAAAATACTGCAACTTGCAAAACTTATTAAGAACTGTGAAACGTATCTTAGACGCACTTCAACAGATCTGATTAGAGGCATTTTCTTCATTCAACCCATCGAAAACTGTATTTTCTCTTTAGTCTTCAATCAACTTCCTAATCTCTAAGGAGATAGCAATAAAATTTGTGACCATTGACTCTTAAAACCCTCTGTATTTCATAAACTGTCGAAAATATCTTAAATTAAAAAATAATTAAAATTTACTGCTTTGCTTTTATCGGATAATTTTAACCTCAAAAGCGGTAGAAGTGAATATGTGAAAACCTTCCAAATTTCGTGCATTCTTGTAGTTTTTCGCGTAAACCTATAAGGACAACGGATGGAATAATTTGACCATCCATTTAGCAATGAACAGAAACAATTTAGCAAAAGTTCCTAACCTCTACATACATAAAAGCCAAAGCGCTCAAATTTTGAAAACCCTCCGCTCCTAAAACACCCTGTATATCAGAAACCATTGAAAATTGTACATCAGCTATTATAATCTTTTCGCGTACAAGGTTTTATCACCCAATATTGACATCAAATTTCTAACCTCAAAGAGGAAAGTAGCAAAAAACATGAAGATTTTAGCTCGGCGAAGTTTAAACCATCTTGCAACTGATAAATAGCTAAAAATCTTCAATCGAGTCGCAAAAATTTTGAAAACCTGTTTCCAAAACTGTCTTTTTGTTCATTAAGTTTGATCAGATATTAATAACCTCTAAAGCGATAAATGCGATAGATAAAGTAAGAAACGTTAAATATTTAAAATGTCTAGTCCGAATATCCGACTGATCCGTTTTTTTGAAATAATCGTAAAAACTATTTCGATAGAGCTACTTTTTTCCTAAAGGCGGTAAAACAGTGTATAACCCCTAAAAAAATGCACGCAAAATTTCGTATAGTTTTGGTAGACTTTCGCTTATATCGTATTTGCGTATAGCAAAAATACTGCAACTTCAAAAGATCTGATTAGAGGCATTTGCTTCATTCAACCCATCGAAAACTGTGTTTTCACCTTAGTGTTCATTAAACTTCGTAACCTCTATACCCGCCGTATATCATAACCTATCAAAAGTATCCAGTGAATGGTTAATTTTTAACGCGCGGACATTTACGGCTTTGGTTTTATCGGAAAAGTTTAACCTCAAAACAGGTAGAAGCAGAAATGTAAAAACCGTCCAAATTTCGTGCATTCTTGTGCTTTTTCGCTTATACCTATATCGTCAACGGTTGAAATAATCTCACCATCCACTCAGCTATGAAAAGAAACACGAATTAACAAAATTTCCCAACCTCTGCAGACATAGAAACCAAAGCGCTCAAATTTTGAAAACTATCCAACCCTAAAACACCCTGTATATCAAAAATCATTAAAAATAGCACTTCAGTTAATCAGTGATTACAATATTTTTGAATACTATATTTTACCACCCAACTTTGACTGTAACCTCAAAAAGGAAAGAAGCCAAAAGCATGAAGATTTTAGCTCTGCGAAGTTTAAACCATTCTCTAACTGAAAAACCGCTAAAAATCTTCAATCGAGCCGCAAAAAAATTTCAAAGCCTGTTTCGAGAACTGCATTTTTGTTCGTTAAGTTTTATCTGACATTTCTAACCTTTAAAGCGATAGAAGCAAAAGTAACCAACTCTAAATGTTTAAAATATCTAGTTCGAATCTCCGCTTGATCTGTTCCGATGACTATCGAAATAATCATACGAACTATTTCGATAGAGCTGTTTTTTTCTTAAGGCGGTAAAACAGTGTCTAACCTCTAAAAAAATAGTATAAAAGTTTTGGTAGATTTTCGCTTATATCCCGGAAACTAACATAAAATTTCTTAGAACGTTTTCTATAGAGTATTGCAAGACCTCTCTGAGTCACTTGGGCTTTTTCATAAATTCCTAACCACAAAAAATCTTGAAGCCAAAATGTTACAATTTTCGAAACCCTCGAAGTCTAAAACATCCTGTATCTCAGAAACGGTTGAAAATACCCAATCAGTTGTCCTAAACTTTTCTGTAGCCTTTTTTGAGAACAACCTTTTATTCCTGGGATGTATGTTAATTTCCTAACCCCAAAAGTGAAACGCGCAAAAACGTTAACATTATGGGCCTACAAAGTTTAAATCATTTTGCAACAAACGCCGATGGAAATATTCCATGAATTATTAAGAAATTTACGAAAAATCGTGACGCTTCCAACCTCTAAAGCGATGGAAGTAAAAGCCATAGAAACAGTTAATCTCAATATCTCGGTAATGGTTGAAAACATCTTCAAATTTATCAACGCTTTTGGATGAAACGTTGAAAAAAGCTACTTTTATTGTTAAGAATTAAAAGAAATTTTCTAACCTCAAAAAGCATTTTGTTCTTACAAATTTTCCTTAATATTCGGAAATGGCTACAACAATACTGCCAATATGTGGGACATTATTACTTCACTGTTAAAAACTCTAACCTCTAAAACAATACCAGCAAGAACACCTACTTCTGGGTCCGTGAAGTTTAAAACTCCTGATAACTCGCATGCCGTGGAAAATATCCAGCCAGTCATAATAAATTTTTCGATAGTCCTTTCTTAGAACAATCTTTCGTCCTCAAGAGTTTATGCCAAGAGTCTAACCTCAAAGAAGACAGTAGTAGAAACCTTAACACTTTGCAAATTCTCAAAGCTTAGAGCATCGAGCAATTCAAAAACGGTTAGATTGGTTCAATTCGCCTGTTTGGGAAGCAGGCTTTAGCTCCTGGGCTTTATCCGCAGTGTCTAACCTATAAAAAGCCAAAATATGTGACCTTAATAGTTTAAAATCTGCACTATTTTGAGACCAGTTGAGAATGCCTAAGTAATTATTAGGACCATTTCGTTAGAGCGTCTCATGGTCTGTTACTTTCTACCAGAAAATCCTAACCTCTAAACAGAAAAACTCAAAAGTTGCCGTCAAACTTCATCTACTGATATTTTAATAATTCATCACTCCAAGTTCAGTTCAGGTTTAAAGGGCAATTTTCTTGTATAAAATAATCCAGTTTTTTACCACCCTTTTAAAGCATTTTTCGAGCAAATGAAAGTGAATAAATCAGGAGTATCGGGTTAATGCGCGACCTTTGCACGCCCAGCATTTGAACTTTTTGCGTCCACTTTGGAATAAGCTCCGTTTCCCATGAAGGAAAATTAATTAAGCCGACAAAAAACTGGTCATTACTCTCTGGCGCTGAATAATTCCCAGAAAGCGTGCTGGAAAGTTATTAATGAAGAGTGCAAGGAAAGGCATTTTTCGGTTTGCAAACCAATGGCTGTTGAGATGAAGAAACTATGAAGAACATTCGGTTGCCAACTGAGCCCAGCTCGCATGTTTCCGATGAACTTTTCAAATATCTCTTCACGCATCATCCATTGAGTCTGAATTTACTTTCTCCAGATCACGATATTACGCCAACTAAGCGCAATGATTGAGTTTTAATGGATCCACATGCTGCACGCAAGTGTTCGTAATTAATATTTCACATTATGCGCCTTTTGAATGCAGCAGAGACTTAAGCGTTGCCAGTCTGGTGCATTTGTATCAATTTCTCCTCTACTTTCGATCTCATTGCAAATACAAGTCATGTTCTTGTATCATCGTCCGTATCTGTTCTTCTATCTCCATCGTCATCATTTTCATTATTTTCTTCCATTGCAGGGTCTGCAAGCAATCCGTTGTCCTGCCGGTTTGTACTTCGACATCGACAAGCAAACTTGCGACTGGAAAGACGCTGTGAAGAACTGCAAGCTGAAGAACAAGGAGAGGAAAGTGAAGCCGCTGCTCAACACTGATGAGCCGCTCTGCCCTGACGGCTCCCTGGCTTGCGGTGATGGAAACTGCATCGAAAGAGGCCTCTTCTGTAACGGAGAGAAAGACTGCGCCGATGGCTCCGATGAGAACAGTTGTGGTAAGTCGATTAGGAAATTGCCATCAGCTGGGAGCCTCTGAGCCGATCCTGTTGCTTGATGAATAATGAAATGGCCTAGAAAAGCGCACCATTATGCTGTGGTAAACACAAATTACTCGACATTCTTCGGTGCGGCTGTTGCGAAAGGGAAAGTGAACTCGGCGAGCCGATCGTGTGATTGGCGGATGCTGCGAATACCGATTTACACCTTGTAACGGTGACATTCTGCGACCAACCAACCCAGATACCTTCTAATGTCATCTTCAAGAGTCGGAGGCTTGTTTCCGATATCGTGAGCAGAAGGAGCGTGGTTTGGATCTGAGCGAAGCTCAGAAATTTTTGGTTGAAGGTTTGGCTCCATGGCGAGACCTTGCTAGGTCATCGCCAAGGCGAAAGTGAACACCAAAATTGAGAAATAACTTTCGTTGTCCTTCACGTAATGGTTGGCTCGGGTGCGGCGCCTAACCAGCCCACTTTCAGCCGAAGAATGTAGTCAGCAGGCCAGGCTAATGTTCTGCATCTAAATCTTCACCCGAATACTGAGGAATTCTTCATTTTGGTGCAGACTGCTGCATTAGATTCTGCCTAGCAGATTTAGAATCTCCAAATTCTGAATATCTCCAAGAATTAGAATCGGAAATTGGAAATGGGGATGGAAGCATCAAACATCTTCTATACCTGTAAAGCGATAGCCGCAAAAAATAGAAGCCTTAAAATATATTCTGTCTCGAAAACTCCATAAAATATATGTCCAGTTGCAACGGCTATTAAGACCGAGAGTTTTAGAAAAATTTCTATCTTTAAAAACCTTTTTTTAAATACTTGTCCATTTCAATTTTGGAAATTATTAACAATCAATTAAAATCAATTGAAACAACCTATCCAAAAAAAGTATTACAGAACCGTGTTTTGTAACTTCATTTATCCGGAATTCGTAACCTCTAAAGGGATAGAAGCAATTCATCCGAAAACCCACTCATAACTCGGAAATCGTCGAAAATATCTAATGAGCGCAAAGCACCATTTCTACCGGACGTTCGTACAACTATATTTTCCTGATTGTGGCTAAAGCCAGATTTCTAACCTCCAAAAGATGGATGTAAAAATTGACGAATTTTTGTACATTTTTGTCCATGTCCCGATAAGGGTTGAATCCACTTCGATAAAATCATCAAGACCTTTAGAAGAAGGACTCACTTTTGCAACTAGAGTTTACTAGAAATTCTTAACCTCTAAACAGATAAAGGCAAAAACTTACAGTGGGACTTAATTTGGAAACGCTCGAAGACGAATCCAAAAACGACAAAATGAGGGTGGGTAGAGGAAAAGCCAATAAAAATACCCGAAGTTCTGACTGCGAAAAGACTTTAGAACGGTCGAATTCTAACCAAAAAAGCGATAGAAGGCAAAATAAAAACGTCAGTTTTTACAACAGCTCATCTCTTGAAAACGGATGAAAATTTCAGCCTAAGGACTAATTCGAAAAATCGATTAAAAAGCTATTTTTTATCCAGAGGATTGAAAAATTTTACCGCAAAAGATATAGACCGAAAAATTGATCAATTTTATACATTTTCGGTATGAAACTGACTAAGTCTTTACAACTGTCTAATTCTATATAAAGCTATAGAAGCTGAAATAAAAATGTCAGTTTGTCCAACAGCTCAGATTTCGAAAACTGTTCAAAATTTCAGTCAAAAGGACTAATTCAAAAGCTATTTTTTCTCCAGACGTTTGAAAAAATCTAACCCCAAAAGGTATAGACCCGAAAATTGATCAATTTTATACATTTTCGGTATAAAGCTGACTGAAGTCTTTAGAACTGTATAATTCTAATCCATAAAGCTATAGAAGCTGAAATAAAAATGTCAGTTTGTTCGATAGCTCAGATTTCGAAAACTGTTGAAAATTTCAGTCAGAGGGACTAATTTAAAAGCTTTTTTCTCCAGAGGATTTAAAAAATCTAACCGCGAAAGATGTAGACAGGAAAATTGATCAATTTTTGAACATTTTTGTTATAACACTGACCAAAGTCTTTAGAACTGTCTAATTCTAACCTATAAAGCTATAGAAGCTGAAATAAAAATGTCAGTCTGTTCAACAGCTCAGATTTCGAAAAATGTTGAAAATTTCCGTCAAAAGAACTAATTCAAAAAATTGATTCAAACGCTATTTTTTCTCCAGAGGATTGAAAAAATCTAACAGCAAAATATATGCAGAAAACTAATCAATTTTTGAAAAAATCGTTTGAAAATATCGATAAAATTATTTGAAAAATTTTAAAGCAAATCTCACAAACTGTCTTAAACCGCAGTGACTAGAATCAATTTTCCAGTTGTTAATCTTAGTCATGCTCTCAGCTTTTCTTCAGCTCAGCAAGCGTTTAGAATCGCACGTCTTCTAAATGGTCGTTGCTTGAATTTTCGTTTTATTAGATCTTAGCCCCTAAACAAATAAAAGCAAAAATAGATGAAAAACGGCCCATAACTCAAAAACGGATTTTCTTCTTAGCACTAACCTCCAAAAAACAGATCCAAAATTTCCTTAATTTTTTTGTGCATTTCTATCGATATCTCGAAAACGATTGAAACTACCTGAATAATTATTTGTAAATGTTCGAAAGCCCATTTAAAAAAAACTATCGTTTGCATTTTGAGCTTATCAAAAATTCCTAACATCTAAACAGTTAGACGTCAAAACTTGCACAGACAGGATTGATATGTCAAAGATCGAAGACCAGCCTAAAAACTTGCAAGTGGCGGACAGAGAAAAAGCCGATGAAAAACGTAAATATTCAAAAACAGAAGATACTGGACAGACAAATAGGAAAAGTTCCGAAAAGAGGACGCAAGAAAACGAAAATTTCGTCACGAAAAAATTTGAATTAAACATTTCGTAATTATGTTAAAAAACGGGTTTTCCCCGCCCGTCAGAAACTGTCTGTTCCTAACCTACAAAACAATAGCAAAACCTAACCTACAAAACAATATTTAAACGAGCTCATATCTCGAAAACGGTTGAAAATTCCCAATCAGTAGTGGGGACTCTTTCGAGAGAGGATTTCAAAATATATCTTTAACCTTTTGCAATTGTGACAAAATTTCCAACCTCAAAGGAGACAACCATATATCAAAAATGATCATTTTTTATCCTTTTTCACGTATATCTCGCAAACGGTTGAGAATATCAAAAAACTAATTAGAACCTTTTGGAAAGAGCTTATCAAAAGCGGCAAATGGCGAAAAGGGCGTTCTATTGAAAATAGCTGGCAGAATCGTCACGACTTTTTCGATCAAACCCTGCTAAATTGTTCTGCTCTGCTTGTCTCATTTGCTTCATTAGATAATTTTAACCCCTAAAGGGTTAAAAGCAAAAATAAATGGAAAACCGCCTATAGCTGGGAAACCGTCAAAAATAGCTGGCGAGTCCAGAGAACCATTCCAAAATACCATTTGAATTGCCATCTTTTTATTTTTAGAATTGGGCAAAATTTTTAACCTGCAAAATGTTAGAAGCAAAATCTAGTTAATTCTTGTACATTTTTCTTCGAATCTCTGATACGGATTGAACCACGTGGGAGTGATTAAGATCTTTTCGATTGAACATCTCAAAAACTGTCTTTTGCCTATTAAGTTTTATCACAGACTCCTAACCTCTAAAAAAATTGAAGCAAATCTAGGTTGGCCAAGTTGGCTACAAAGAACAAAGAACGTAGGAGAAAACCATGTTCCGGCTTCAAATGCTAAAAAAAATGCACGAAATTGTTTTTCTCAAAAAATGTTGTAGATTCTGTCGCTATAAATTGTTTTTAACGGTTATAGACAAATTATATCCTGTAAAAAATTACTATGCAAACGAAAAATCCTGGTACTTTCCCTTTGAATATCGGAAGCGAAATAATAATCAGTAAAATATTTCAAACAAGGTTTAAAATGCTGCCTTGGCTTATGATAAAATACTAACCTCTAAACAGATAGAAGCAAGCACTAGCATCGAGATGGAACTGATTTGTAAACGCTCAAAAAAACTTGACTTTAAGCGGAAGCAAACTAGAAAGACTAGAAAAACGGAAAAATCTTCAGTGAGATGAAGTTGGTGTCCAGTAAGCCAATGATAAGCCTTGATAGAATAGAAAAGAATGGAGACCAAAATAAGCCCCGAAAGAAACAAGCTAGCAAATCACATGAAATCAGTGCCAAGTTAATTTTGTTTCCAGCCAAAGTGTCCCAAAATCTATCACTACTAACCTGTAAAAGCCTCGAAGCAAAAGTAAATTTAAAGATTTAACTATTTTTGATCTCAATGGCAAGGGTCGGAACTATCTGAATATTCCTAAGGGCTCTTTATACGGATTCTGTAGATAGATAGAGGCGAAAATGTACACAAGCCCCATAGTGTCCTTTATTGGCAAACGCTTTTCTTTCTTGCCTTCCTGTCTCTTACCTTGGATTTGTCCTACCTCATCAACATGTTAGCAAAGCGACTTGCCAAGAACAACCGATTTTACACCGGTTTCATGCATGCGGAATTTCCAATCTTTCACTTTGTCTGCTAACCAATTAAGCATTTACGGAAAGTTTACCGAATCTATTCGAGCATTTAGCTAATGAATTTGTTCAACACTTATGACCTACGCAATGAGAGTCGATTCTTGCAGGCAAACTCTTGAGAATCTCCTTGTTTACAGATATCGACAATGATCCGAACCGAGCGCCCCCTTGTGACCCAACCGTTTGCAATCTACCCGACTGTTTCTGCTCAGAAGACGGTACCACCATCCCTGGGGATCTGCCTGCTAAGGACGTGCCCCAGATGATCACCATCACGTTTGATGATGCGATCAACAACAACAACATCGAACTCTACAAGGAGATTTTCAATGGAAAACGCAAGAATCCCAATGGATGCGACATTAAGGCCACCTATTTCGTCTCGCACAAATACACCAACTATTCCGCCGTGCAAGAGATGCATCGCAAAGGTCACGAAATTGCCGTTCACTCCATTACGTAAGTGCGCTTTTGTGTCTTTTGTAGATATTGGGTGATTCAAGCCAAAGAACTGCAATTGATTTGCTAAAGAGTTAAGAGCGCTTTTCCCACTTAAATAAAAGGTGTTGGTTCAATTAAGAAACTTTGTCCAAATTGGGAGAAAACAGCGAAAGATTTTCCCATTTTTCCATTTAGGAAGCCCCAATTGAAGGCTGTTTGCTTTTCGAGTTTTTTTTGGCAAATTTATAGTGTGTATAACTTATAAACTTTTTTTGAACAAATCGGGCAAAATTGCGACTGATTTTCGATTTTTGCGTTTGAAAAAGCCCGAATTGCTCGATCGAAGAGCTAAGAGTAGCTTTTCCAACTTCTTTGGTTTCAGAGTTGCTGGTCTTTTCAGTAAAAAGCGTTTTCCGATCAAACAAATTAGTAAAACTTTGACGCGAATAGCATCTTGCTTTTAAATTTTTTCCTTAAAGAGCCCCAATCCTCCTATTGAAGAGTTTGGCAACCTTTCGTTTCTGAATTATTACATTTTTTTGTATAATAGGGATTTGGTCTTTTTTAAAGCGTTAATAACTGAAGAAAGTTTTTCTAACTCCTCCTAACCTAAATCGGGCGCAATTACGACTAATTTTCAATTTTTATATTTGAAAAGCATCAATTGTTCTAAGGGTGGATTTTCCAATTTTTTTGGTTTCAGTGTTGCGCATTTTGTAAGTAAAAGGTGTTTTCCAACCAAGAAAAATTAAACTTTGCCAAGAACAGCATCTTTTTAATTTATTTGCTTAAGGAGCTTCAGTTGCTCCAATGAAGAGTTTGGCGAACCTTTCGTGTCTGAGTTATCAGATTTTTTATGTAATACGCTCTTCAGCGCCAATGCCTAATTGGAAATTCTAATTTGCCAAATTCACTACCTATGGAGCCTCACATGCTCCGGTGAAAAGTAAGCAGCTCTTTTCTCCAATTTGTTTCGCTTAAGAATCACTAATTCTCCATGCAGAAGCAGTTTTCCAATTCCCAAATCTCGTTAAAATTAAAAAAATATATTAAACTGATTTCCCAATTTTCGACTCATAGACCCTCAATCGCTCTATAGGCTGGCTTAGAGTGCTGGTCTATAGCGGATTTTGCTTATGAGCCACAAACTTTTTAAAAGTCGAGCACTCTTAAGGACTATCGCCTAATCGAAACTCAAAAAAAAAACTGAACCAAATTGCAACTCAATTCCCAATTTTTTTTAAAGAGCCTCCATTTCTCTATCGAAAAGTACTGACTTTCTCTTGCCAACTTGCTTGGCTTCAGAGCTACGGATGTTTAAATAACAGTCGGTTCCTAATTTTTTTTAATTGCGAAAAATTGAAGCAAACAGCCAACTGATTGTCCGATATGTTCACTAAAAGAGCCTCAACCGCTCTATTCAAAAGTTTAGAGCTTTTTGTGCTCGCAGTTCGTGTGCTTTGGGAATTGCGATTTTTTATAAAATAAAACGGTCTTAAGCGCCAATGTAATTAAATTTTTTAATGGCAAAAAATCGCGATTTTTGATCTAATTTTTTTCACTACAAGGGGTTCAATTGTTGGAAGGTTTAGTTTAAAATATTGAGATATTTTTGAGAGAAACTTTTTTCCATTAAAATAGCCAAAAATGCTTGAGTGAAGTAAGAAGAGCTCCTTTTCGTAAGTTTTTTAGCTGCAAAGTTATGAAGATATTCAACAAAAAAAGCTTTTTCATTTTCAAAATTTGGCCTCAACTGCATCTCATTTCACAAATTTACCACTAAAGAGGCTCAAATCGCTCGTCCCATTTCGGAATTTAATATTTTTTAAAGTATTGTTTTTTAAGGACTAATGGCCAAGTAGATTTTTTCTATGACACAAAATTGCAACTTTAGATTTACTTTTCCTTAAAGTGCTTTTTTCTGAATTGCTTGGTCTCAGAGTGAMGAACTTTTTAAACAAAACTCGTTTTAGAATTWAAAAAATCGTCAAATCTTAAGGAAAACTGCAAGTCAAYTCCAAATTTTTGCTTGTCTGTTTCATCATGTCGAATCGCARCTTGTTTCATTTCKSAGTTTAACATTTTTTAAAGTAWTGTTTTTAAGGACTAATGGCCAAGTRKATTTTTTYCTATCACACAAAATTGCAACTTTASATCWACTTTTTCTTAARGTGCTTTTTTCTGAATTGCTTGGTTTCAGAGTGACAAACTTTTTTAGCAAAAGTCTTTTACAATTTAAAAAAATCGTCAAAACTTAAGGAAAACTGCAAGTCAACTCCAAATTTTTGCTTGTCTGTTTCATCATGTCGAATCGCAGCTTCTTTCATTTCGGAGTTTAACATTTTTTAAAGTAATGTTTTTAAGGAATAATGGCCAAGTAGGTTTTTTCTCACACAAAATTGCAACTTTAGATCTACTTTTTCTTAAAGTGTTTTTTTCTGAATTGCTTGGTTTCAGAGTGACGAACTTTTYAAGCAAAAGTMTTTTAYAATTTARAAACATCGTTAAAATTTAAGRGAAACTGCAAGTCATTTCCTAATGTTTGCTTGTCTGTTTCATGAGCTGCGATTCTTTAAAAAGYCAAAGAGTCTTAAGTGCCAGTGTTGGATAATTTTTTGAACGGCGCGAAATCGCGATTTTATTTCCAAACGAGCTTCATTTAGTTCTATTGAAGCTTAAATAACTCCTTGTCTCAGTTTTTTCGTTTTTATAGTTGAACATTTTTTAAAAAGTTTGTAAAAATTTGAGAAGCAATGGAACTCATTTCCCAAATTTTTCGCGAAAAGAACCTCAATCGCTCTATTGGATTATTTACACTGGTTTCGTTCAGCGTGTTTGGTTTCCGAATTACTATTTTTTTAAAATGAAACGATCTTAATCCCGAAAGTCTGATTGATTTGTTTTGAAATCGGGCCAAATCGCGGCTCATTTTACAATTTTTTTACTAAAATAGCGTCACTGGCTCTATTTAAGGTTTAAAAACTTCTTTTTCAAACTTGTTTTGATTCGAAGTTTTACATTTTTTCATAAAAGGCGTCTTTTAATTTAAAAAATTCGTCAAATGTACGAAAGAGTCGAACTCAATTTCTCCTTGCGACTGACAAAGCCTTAATTGCTCTATTGGAAGGTTTAGAGTGTTGTTCCAGTTTGGTTGGATTCAAAGTTTAAATTTTTTCACGGGCCATTTTTCTAAAAGTGTCAATTCCTAATTGAAAATTTAGCAAAATTAGGAAAAATTGCAGTTCACTCTTCAATTTTCCCAATTAAAGGCCACAACCGCTCGCTCTATTGAAGAGTTTAGCTACCTTTTCTTCAAACCGTTTGGTTTCTAAGCTGCAGATTTTTTTGAGGTAAAATCGTTCTTGAAGTAAAATCAGTCCAAATTACAATAAATTTTCCAATTTTTCTCCTCAGAGAGCCTGAATTGCTCCATTGAAGTTACTCTTCTAGAGGCGAATAAGAGACTTTTACCTACAAGCTTTTGAAATAAAAGTAGTTTCATAATTTTAAAAATTCGCCATTAATCCCCTAGTTTGTCGAACAAAAAAGCCTCAATCGCACTGATTAAGCGTTCTGTGTGCATGTTCAGAACTGGTAAGTTTTTGAGTTTTTTGAAATAAAATAGTCTTAAGCGCCAATATCTGCTAGAAAATTTATTAAAAATCGGGCAAACTTGCTATTAATTTCCCAATTTTTCTACGCAAATCGCTCAACTAAACAGTTCAAAGGTTTTTCCTCCAGCTTGCTTAGTTTTCCAGTTGCGAATTTTTTAACTAACGCTGTTTTAGAGTTAAGGAACTGGGGAAACATCTCAATTATCGCCCAGCTTTTCATAGTCGACGAGGCTCAATTGCTATCTAGAAGAGCTTAAAGAGTCCCACCAATAATAATCTAGACGCAAACTTACTCAACTCAAGCAAGTGTGGCAGCGCGAAAAGTTCAAGTGTGCCCACTGAAAACACCAACAAAATCCCAACTTTTCAACACTATTGATAGTCTGGACGTGTTCTGATCGGCCTTATTGCTATACTTTCGAAGGTTCCTAGAAGGTGACCAGCACCGCTTTGGGTCGCCCTGTAGATGCAGGAAATGCAGCCTGGAGGTCGCAGCCTTAGTTAGTTAATCATTCCCTAGCGGTAGCAGGATTGCTGACTGAATACCAATTAGCAGCCGATAGCCTTTACTTCGCGTAAACGTGCAGGCACTTTCTTCGCTTGATTGCAGCAGAATGGCTTTCGCTTAGCTGATCAAATGCTTCTGTTGCAGGCACAATGATGATGAGCATTTCTGGTCCAATGCCAGCGTGAATGACTGGGTGAAGGAAATGGGCGGGCAGCGAATAATCACCGAAAAATACGCGAACATCACCGATAACAGCGTGGTGGGAGTGCGGGCGCCCTACTTGAGAGTAGGCGGCAACAACCAGTTCACCATGATGGAGGAGGAGGCCTTCCTGTACGACTCCACCATCACCGCCCCATTGAACAACCCGCCCCTGTGGCCCTACACCATGTACTTCCGGATGCCCCATCGATGCCACGGAAATTTGCAAAGCTGCCCCACTCGATCCCACGCCGTGTGGGAAATGGTTCTGAACGAGCTGGACCGCAGGGAAGATCCCACCAATGACGAGTATCTGCCCGGATGTGCCATGGTCGATTCCTGCTCGAACATCCTGACTGGGGACCAATTCTACAACTTCCTGAACCACAACTTCGACCGCCACTACGAAGAGAACCGCGCCCCACTCGGCCTCTACTTCCACGCCGCCTGGTTGAAGAACAACCCGGAGTTCCTGGACGCTTTCCTCTACTGGGTGGACGAAATCCTGGCCAACCGCAACGACGTCTACTTCGTCACCATGACGCAAGTGATCCAATGGATCCAGAACCCGAGGACCGTGACCGAGGCGAAGAACTTCGAGCCCTGGAGGGAGAAGTGCGTCGTTGAAGGCCCTCCAGCCTGTTGGGTGCCCCACAGCTGCAAGCTCACCTCCAAGGAGGTGCCCGGGGAGACCATCAATCTGCAGACTTGCGTCAGATGTCCGAATAACTACCCATGGTTGAGCGATCCCACTGGAGACGGTATTTTCTAAGTCAATCCTATCCTCTAAGTGCAAGAACAATGAAAGTGGTATCAAATCGAGCGCCGATAATCGAAGGCAAAGTGATCTTATTTTATATTTATTATGTCAATGATGACTGCATGCGTGATCGAATTGTTGTTGTATTTTTGTAATAAATTATCCTCGAATAAGCTTAGACTGTTAATCCATTGTCGGTGGTAATCGGTAAGTCTACGTCGTTGCGACTTTCACGACGGCCATTATGTAACATATCTATCTATATATATATATATACATATATACCTACACACACGAACTTAAATATGTATTTATATAGAAATATAATTAATCAAATTTCGGCGTACGCCTGTAGAGTGCTGTGTAGAAAAAACCCTTTTGTGAACGCATTCCGAATTCCAATTGTTTTTATATGATGGTAATAAAGATTGTTTAATAAGTAAACTGTTGCTGTGGTTTTGTTTTCCGCTCAAAATCCCACAAAAACTGACCGTGAAGAAGAGAAAGGATTCGATTTGCGAATCACCAGGAAACACACTCGACGATTATCTGCCAATAATCCATTCTTGCGTAACTCAACTCAACTAAGCAATTGTTTAATATTCAACCAGCACCATCAACAATTGATATTCAAACCCAACATTGTTTACTATCGCAGGCCGCATTGTCATGCTCTCAGTGCTGATCTTTCTTTGGCAAACGTTTACTGAAGCAACTGGTTGCTTCAGTATCTAGACAATCTGCTGTGGATTCCTTCGCATCGTCATGCTCTTAGCCTGCTCGCCTTCGCTCTAGGAAAAAGTAAAGCTGATTGATGATCATAAAAGCGTTGTCATGCTCAGAGCGTCTTTTGCTGAATAATGACGGTAAACCCCGAAGGAAACAATGAAATTTCTCATCTCCAGTCAAGTAATTCTGGTTCTTGTTGGCCATGTGTTCATCTTTGGACATCACGAGAGACCAGTTATGTGTGTTTTTCTAGATTTGCATAACTAAACAGTCGCAATTTTCGTGTTCGCCGAATCGCTGCTTCAAACCTGATTTCGGCATTAAACCACAGCGTGGTAGATCAAGGTAACCTGGTGTGGTTAAAAGCGGGTTTATGGGGTTTGCACAGTGGTTTTTTTTTACTGAGAATAAAGTATGTACGGCGCGCATTGACGTCCCATAATGTGTTTTCGATCTAGTTTCGGCAGAGGTCATGAATATGATCAGCACCTATGAAGGATTTTACATAACTGAGTSAGGAAAAATAGWGGCAAGTTAGAAGCCTTTCTCAGCTTTCAGCCAAGAAAACGCTGCTCTTTTYGACTTGGCAGGGTAAATTTGCTTATGATTGTCTTCAGTTCTTCRCAGTTCTTCACCTCATGGCGGTTTAKCRAAGATTTCTTCAAAATKGTTYTAGATTAAAAAGAAGCAARTTCAAAAGTTGTCTCTTTAAGCTTTTAGCAAAGAAATAGTTGCTGTTTTCCAAACAGACACAAGCTGGAAAGTTCTGAAAGCGTCGCTTTTCGGTTTGCAAAAGTCAATTTGCTCATAATTGTCTTCAGTTCTTTGCAACTTCTTTGCCTGATGGAGATTTTGCGATGGTTTCTCCAAAAAACATATCAGACAAAACAGACACAAGCTAGAAAATTCGATTTACCAGCTTTTACYACAAAAAGCGCTGCTGTTTTCGGCTTGCGAGAGTTAATTTGCTCATMATTGTCTTCAGGTCTTTGCAACTTCTTCGCCTCATAGCGATTTTGTGACGGTTTCTTCAAAAATGTATCAGACAAAACAGACACAAGCTTGAAAGTTCGTTTTATCAGCTTTTACCCAAAAAATCGTTGCTGTTTTCGGCTTGCGCGAGTTAATTTGCACATAATTCTCTTCAGTTCTCTGCAACTTCTTCGCCTCAAAGAGATTTTGCGATGGTTTCTTCAAAAACAAATCAGACGAAACAGACACAAGCTAGAAAATTCGATTTACCAGCTTTTACCACAAAAAGCTTTGCTGCTGTTTTCTGCTTGCGAGAGTTAATTTGCTCATAATTGTCTTCAGTGCTTTGCAACTTCTTCGCCTCTTAGTGCTTTTGCGACGGTTTCTTCAAAAACGTATCAGACAAAACAGACACAAGCTTGAAAGTTTGATTTACCATCTTTTACAACAAAAAGCGCTGCTGTTTTCGACTTGCGAGAGTTAATTTGCTCATAATTGTCTTCATTTCTTTGCAACTTCTTCGCCTCGTAGAGATTTTGCGGCGGTTTCTACAAAAACATATCAGAAAAAACAGACACAAGCTAGAAAATTCGATTTACCAGCTTTTACCACAAAAAACGCCGCTGTTTTCTGCTTGCAAGAGTTAATTTGCTCATAATTGTCTTCAGTACTTTGCAACTTCTTTGCCTCATAGAGCTTTTGCGACGGTTTGTTCAAAAACGTATCAGACAAAACAGACAGAAACTAGGAAGTTCGCTTTACCTGCTTTTACCACGAAAAGCGCTGCTATTTTCGGCTTGCGAGAGTCAATTTGCTCATAATTCTCTTCAGTTGTTTGCATCGTCTTCATCTGATAGAGCTTTTACGACGGTTTGTTCAAAAACGTATCAAACAAAACAGACACAAGCTTGAAAGTTTGATTTACCAGCTTTTACCACAAAAAGAGGTGCTGTTTTCGGCTTGCGAGAGTTATTTTGCTCATAACTGTCTTCAGATCTTTGAAGCTTATTTGCCTCATAGAAATTTTACGATGGTTTCTTCAAAAACGTATCAGACAAAACAGACAGAAGCTAGGAAGTTCGCTTTACCTGCTTTTACCACAAAAAGCGCTGCTATTTTCGGCTTGCGAGAGTCAATTTGCTCATAATTCTCTTCAGTTGTTTGCAACGTCTTCATCTGATAGAGACTTTGCGACGGTTTCTTCAAAAACGTATCAGACAAAATAGACACAAGTTAGAATTTTCTCTTTATGAGCTTTTACCAAAAAAAGCTTTGCTATTTCCGGCTTGCGAGAGTCAATTTGTTCATAATTATCTTCACTTCTT